CGGATGCCCAGGCTCAGCGGCCATGGCTCACGGGCCCAGCCGCTCCGCGGCATGTGGGATCTTCCCAGACCGGGACACAAACCCGTGTCCCCTGCATCGGCAGGCAGACTCTCAACAACTGCACCACCAGGGAAGCCCCTTTGTACTCTTTTAATGTGGTTACTAGAAAATTTTAAACCACATATGTGGTTCACATTTTATTTCTATCAGACAGCACTGATCTAGAGACCTGGGTTCTGTCACCAACTCCTTGCAAGTGGTCTGTCTGGGACTTCTGGTTTCTGCTCTGTGAGTAGTGTTTGGGAGTCATCTTTCCTGTCCTCCCAACAAGAAAAAACTGAATGAGCTGAAAATCAAGAGAGAATTAAGTCAGAGGACAAACTGCTACCCCCAAAACTGTAGAGATGGACAAACACAGAGAATACAGAGCAGCTTACCTGCAGTAGGAGCAGCTGCAACTAGTAACTGGTAGGAACACTGAACAGGCAATTTGGGTGAATTTCTAGAGGCTGCGTCTAGACTAATTTGAGAGTTAAATATTCCTGAGGACCCAGAGTAAGGTGAGAGGGCTCCCACACTTTTGTGGGGTTTGCCTCAGGAGACATACCAGGTTCTCACAGTGGGTACCCTAGAAAAATCCCTTCATGCTTGGCCTGGGGGAGGGGAAAAGTAATCATTCTGAAACAAGCCCAGAGAATTCTCCAGAAAAACGTCCTACCCAGCAAGGAAAAAGCCATTACCATAGCTTTTTCTGACTTGGAGGGGAAGAAATTACCCAACTCCAGCCCCCCTCTGGCTACTCTATCTCATACAAATGAGAAAAGCACTTATGAAGGTCACAGCCCAGGGGCACAGGCCTCCTAAAAGCTGAGAGCTAATCATAGGGTTGCAGAGTTTTCCCTCTCATCAACCTCAGCACCATATTAACAGGGCTCCTGTAAAATAAGGTTGATTACAGCTGAAAGAACTACAATGTCCAAACTCTATTTAAGAAGCAGTTTCTAGGGAAACCCAATACAAAAGAGGAGAGAAAAACAAGGACAGTGGAAGAAATTTAGGTCTCTGACATATACAGCTACAGCAAACTGTAAACACAGCCTAACTCCTAGCCAAAAAAACGTAAAACTTCATACTATGGTCTATTTACCTCAGTTCCTTTTACCCAGTACATCATGTCTGGGTTTCAAGCAAAAATTAGAGCCATCCTGAAATTCAAGAAAAAATATAATCTGAAGAGATAAAGCATAAGATCTGACTCAAATATAGCTGAGATTTTGGAAATACCAGACTAGAATTTTAAAGTAACTTTGTGTAATATGCTAAAGACTTTAATGGACAAAGTGGACCACAGGCAAGAACTTCCCTTTGTGTCCTCAGATGGGAGAAAGGCAAAGGAGCTCTCTGGGGTCTTTTCTATAAGGGCACTAACCCCATTCATGAGGGCTCCACCGTCATGATCTAGCACCTTCCAAAGGCTCCACCTCCAAATATTATCACATTGGAGGATTCAACATACGAATTTAGGGATGCGACAGAAACATTCAGTCTATAGCAGATGGTGATAAGATCAGTGGTTGCCAGGATTTCAGGGGAGAGGTGAATAGGTGAAGCACAGGGGATTATTAGAGGGGTGAAACTATTCTGCATGAAGCTGTAATGATAATTATGTATGCATTTGTTAAAACCCATAAAACTGTACAATGCTAAGAGTGAACTGTGATGTAAACTATAGACCTTAGTTAACAATAATGTATCAGTATTATTTCCACAATATTGAGTTTTGAGAGTCCTCTATATATTTTAGATTCAAGTCCTTTTTCAGATATGTGGCTTGGAAATTATTCCGTTTGAAAATTATTCCATATATTCCATTATATATACGTAACCCTAATGTACCACACTAGTGCAAGATGTTAATATTAGGGGAAACTTGTATTGGGTGTTTGTTAGGTGTTGGGGTGTGATGGTTATATGGAACTGTATGTACTATCTGCTCAATTATTCTGTAAAATTAAAACTGTGCTAAAGGAGCTTGGGATGAACATACACCCACTACTATATATAAGATAGATAACCAACAGGGACCTACTGTATAACACAGGGAACTCTGATCAATATTCTGTGATAACCTATATGAGAAAAGAATCTAAAAAGGAATAAATATACGTATATGTATAACTGAATCACTGTGTTGTACACCTGAAACTAACACAACATTGTAAATCAACTATACTCCTATAAAATTAAAAAAATATATAAAACTACTAAAAATATAAAGTCTATCAATTATTTTTGAAAGTTTGAGTCTTACTTTTACTCATTTTTCAATGAGAATAGAGGATTATGTTATTTCTTATATTCCTTCCACCTTTAACCTTTATGATTTTCACTTCTAAAAAGACTTCATTTTTTGAACTTTGGAGCAGTTTTAGAGCCACAGAAAAATGAGCAGAAAGTGTGGAGAGTTCTCATATACCCCCAACGCCACACATGCCCAGCCACTTCTGCTATTAACATCCACAGTGGTACATTTGCTACAATTGATGAACCTGCATTGGCACGTCCTTACCACTCAAAGTCCATAGTTTACATTAGGGTTCCTGGTGTACATTCTGTGGGTTTGGCAAGTGTATAACTACATGTATCCATTACTAGAATATCATAAAGAATAGTTTCACAGCCCTAAAAATTCTCTGTGCTCCACCTACTTGTTATTCCTTCCCCCTAACCCACTGGAAATATTTGTGGTGCTGGAATAGTTCTTGATTTTGGTGGTGGTTCCACAAATCTACACAAGTGATAAAATGACAAAACTATACAAACACATTGTACCAATGTTAATTTTCTGGTTTTGAGACTGTAATACACTTATTTGAGATGTAACTATTGGGAGAACCAGGTACATGGGACCTCACTGTACTATGTTTGCAACTTCCTGTGATTCTGTAATTATTTCAAAATAAAAAGTTAAAGCAATAAAAAAATCTGCATTTAAGTCAAACAAAATAGCACTGAATTTTCTGAGAAAATTTTAGAAAAAGAGAAACCCAACTTTCTTAGAAGTTCTGCACTGTCACTTGATTGTATGCTATAACTAAGCAAATGTTGGTGTTATTCATGCATCAATAGTAGAAGACCAAGTTAAAACAGAGAGAAAAAAACTAACTCTGTAATTCAGTGAATTAAACAATTCCTTTTTGATGGAAGCATCACCTGAAGCAATTTTAAAAGGGATACAAAACAGACAACAGAAATCTACTAACACAAAATCTCCCTCAAGAAATAAATTTTAAAACAGTCATTTCCATTCCTTAAAATTATTTGAACTCCTTTTAGTCCAGTAAGGAACAGAAAGCCCAGTAGTCAGCTACAGAAGTTCTTAAGCACAGTAGAGACATATAGCTATCAGATTAAGGCAAGTGCTTTTAGTCCTTGCTCTGCCATTCTCAAGCTAAGGACTGTTTGTCATATAATCAAAAGTCAGTTAAAATTTTACACTTTCTATGTACTTTTAAATGTATTTTTGGTTTTAAGTTCACTTTATGAGTTAAAAACATATCTTCCAAAGACGTATTCATTTCCGGGTGGCTAAAATGATCTGTCCAGTGTCACATATTCTAAAATAACTTTAGATAGTAATTTATATTTGCAAAAAAAAAATAATTTAAAGGACAAAGTAACCTTTGCAGATTGTTGCCACTGCCCATATAAAATAAGCAAAATCGTCTCATAAAAATAAAAAAAAACTTTCCCCTGCTCCCTGTGAAACGGCTAGGTGGCATTTTGGGGGGTCTCCGAAGAGTTCAGTCTTTTACGTCTCAGTGCAGAAAGAATTCAGAGAGAGGCAAAGTGATTTATTACAATAAGAAGCGATTTGTTAGAATAGGACGTTTGTGAGGCTTACAAGCCCGCGGGAGAGAGGGTGCTGCCCCGAGAACTTAGTGGGCTACAGTTTTATAATCAAAGGAAAAGTGGGGAGGGGAAAAGACCTCCTCAATCTTGAGTAGACATCATGCTTCCATCATCAGCTCCTCCTCCAGGTTGGGCAGGGGAGTTTTCTTGTGCCTACATGGTCAAGCTAGGACTATCATGGCACTATGCAAAAATTATTTTAGGTCTCAGAACAATGAGCATCTTTCATTGTGAAATGTTACCTTTCCATAAATTGTTTTTTATGTGTTCTAGGGATCATTAACTTACTGAGCTCACTGGGCAGGATGTGGGTCTCATGCCACCATTGTTCTCTTGTTTTGGGGCATGTCTTGTGCTTCTATTGCATGGTTTTGTTGCTAAGCAAGTCTGCTTGGTTTGTGGTTAAGTAAACCGGCTTTCTTGAGGGATCACTAACTTACAGGGGTTTCCCATACTTTTTTCTACTTACAATCCCCTAGTGGGATTAACTATTTAATCACCTACTTTGTCCCTTTACTCTGTCCCTATCACCTGGAACGGAAGCTATCAAAATTTACGGTTTAAGATGAAGTCTAAGGTGCTCCGAAACGGTGAGTCATTTTGTCCTATACTGTGCAACAGTGCTTTTAATGGAAGGGTTTAAGGAAGTAGACACTGAAGCTCCCCAAAACTGAAAAAAGTATGAAACCCCAACCGAGCTTCACCATGTGGTAAAGCTTCTGGGTCTCAGCTATCCCCCTTTAGGAGACGCCACAACCTCGAAGACCGAAGCCTCCCTAACCACACTGAACTGCCGAGAGCAAGGAGAGAGGCGGGGCCTCATCGGATGTAAGATGGCGGCCGAGTGACGCTCTGGGCGGCTCCGGCCGCGACTCGGTAGCCGGAAGTCCTCCGTCTCTAGCCAGTAGGAAGCGGAAGTAAAGGGCGGTCGGGGGCCGGGCTCTATCTTTGCAAGGCCGGCTTGCGAGCGGAGCCACGGGAAAGGCGCGTGTAGGCCGCTCACTGGCGCAGCTGCTGCCGCCCCGCCGCTGCGCCGCCCCGCCCCGGCGTTGTCGCAGGTGCAGTCGTGGACGAGGCGCGGCCCCGGCATGGACTGGAAAGGGTCTGCGGGCGGCGCGTGTGCTGCCGCTGCGCGGCCGGTGACAGGTACCCCTGGGCGGGGTGTGGGGAGTTCTCGCGGGGGGAGAGGGGGTCTGGGGAGCGAGGCCACCTTGTGTCCCGGTCACCTTGAGCTTCCGTTTCTTCCCTGACTCAGTTTCCCCTCCTGTATCCCAGCCCTCCCCTTCTTTGCGAGTCCCCCGAGTTGTCCCTCGGTGTCCTCTGGGCACATACCGTCTCTGCGAGGGTGGTCGCGGGCTCTGTTTAGCCGTTTCGAACCTTCATTGAAGAGCTTCGAGACCCGTGTGCCCAAGTGCAGATGGAGGTGGGGGAAGTGCCCTAACGTGAATTTCGTCCAAGCCTGACCCCAAGTAGGCTGAGAACCAGCAGTTTGCAGGACTCCGGTTGGAGAACGAATGGATCTTTTTATAGATTTCTCTTTTCCCTAAAATGAATTCGGGTGATGAATATTGGTTCCGTTTTCATTTAATACGAGGATCTGGTGGCTGAAAATTGGATGATCCGGTTTCACTTTTAGTGTGGGACCTGCCAGAAGAGAAAGATCTGCGTACATCGCCAATAAGTTATGGGTGGGAGCTCTTCGTGTTCCTTGGCCAGAATCTCTAGATCGTTTTGCATTTCTTGCCCGATTTGAGAACTAGCATATTTTGTTCATTCAAAGTCCTGGGGTCTTATGCCTTACTGTGTTACACTGTATTGGAAGCATTCATTCATCGTGTACTTCGCCAGCCAACTTTACTGTGTGATGTTTGAAGACATTTTAAATAGCTATATGACAACAACACAAAATTTGGGTTGATTGTAGCCTTTCCATTTGACTTGCTTTTGTTAAACTTAGCTGAAACTCATTTTTATTGAAGGAAATAAACGTTGCTTTGTACAGTAGTAGTAGGGCATCTTCACAGTGCATATTTAACTTGAGGAGAATAAATTGAACTATGGAGAAAATACCATTAGACTTTTTCTCGAGTTACTTGCGATCATTTTCGTATTACATGTATAGTATCTAATTTTAACCTGAAATTGCATGTATGTGGTTCACAGCAAATGGGTTTTGCTAACAGGTATAAGTGTATATTAAGTTTAAATTTTTCAGAAGTAAATTTATTTCTCAAGAAGAGTACTTCCTGTTATTTTTCCTTGCTGTTATCATATATGTTGAAACTCAGATGGCTACTTATTAACTTGCACCCTGCAAGTTTTTTTTGAGTTTGTAAGCTATTTTCTTCAGTTTAAAAATGGAAAAAGAAAAAGTTGATGATGATTTATAATTTTATGTCTCTTCGGTTTTCCAAAAGTGAAAAACATTTGCCATAATATAATTTTGATTAATATTTTTGATAAATGAGCAAGAGATAGTGTCTTTAAACTAAAGAAACCGGGCCACACACTAGATCTTACTAGATGAATCTTTTGGGCATAGAACCTATTAAAGACTTTTTAATTTATCCATCATGCTGGAAGCGTGATGCCTATAATCATGCAGTGCCTCGCTGCAGATTCTGACAGCTGTTATTTCACAGCTTTTAAGGGTTGCTTTTAAGGTCAGAGGGTCAGAGTGATAAGGGATCTCGTAGAATGAAGCCATCCTCAAACAAAAGGCCACTCAGTGACGTTCTTATTTCTACCTCTCTGGACAACCTTTTCCTCTGGTGTTGCCTGTGGTATCAAGCATGTGGGGTCTGGGGGTGGGAAAGCTCTTCTTTAATGTGTAGCTTTCCTCTCTTTCCCATCTCTACTGATGCTGTACTGTGCCCCAGAAACTCTCTGTCTCTTTAAAACAGGGCAGGGGGATCTCTGGGTGAGTTATGGTACGTAGAGTTTTCATTTTCACCCTTCTTAAGTCTTAGGCTTTTTGTAGCGCCTTTACTCTTGGTGCCACATCCCTTTCTTCCAGTGGCTTTCATTCATCCTTTAATGAACAAAGTCTGTGTTTATTTTATTTTGAGTGCCTCCTGTGTTCCAGGCATTATGCTAGGCATGTGACTGTGACCGATAAAACTCCCTGCGCTTGAGGAGCTCACATTCAGTCCCCAGAGCCAGCCCAAGTATGGATCTGTTCAGGCTGGTTGCTTGGTTTGGTTTGCTCCCAACTTCAGGCTCATACCCTTGGTTTCAAGTTGAAGCTGTACCTCTCTCAGCCACCTGGGTCCCAAGGACTCTGCCCCTAGAAAATCTCTGGACTTGCCTTGGGTCTTGTAATAAAGTCCTTTGTTCATTCTGGGTCTACACAGTATGAATTACCCCTTCTTAAAGCCAGAGGACCAGGGCAGAGAGCATGGTATTGTGGAACTTTTGAAAACAGGCAGATGTGGGTTCCAAACATTGCTATTTATTAGTCCGGCAAGTTACTTACCCTCTCTGAGCTGCCATTTTCCTATTTTTCAAGTAGGGATGATAGTGTTTCATGCATCATGCAGCGTATTTATGGACTACCTGCTGTTTGCCAGGCCCTGCGCTGTTCGCTCTGGTGGAGAAAGTGGATGAGGCTGCCCCCCTCAGGAGCTGTAGTCTCCTGGGGCCTTGTGTGGAAGGGCTGCATAACGAGTTTGCAGAGTGCTTGGCAGTGGCACTGTCCAGAGTGATTTGCCTGGAGTAATTGCTCTGTAAGTGCGGGTGTTTCCTGGGGCCTTCGGTCCCTCGCTGTCCCCTCCTCACTCTGTGCATGCCCTCGGCCTGGGAGTACTGTGCAGAGGCATCTAATTTCTCATCTGGAATCACCACTGTTGGGGGATTACACGTCTAGGTCCCTTCAGGAAAAATGGTGAACATAGCTGTTAGCATTAATACTGCTTGAACATAGTTCATATGCGCTGTCTCCGCTTTAGAAACTTAGTGACTTTGGGGGAGGATTTTGTTGATTTTTTTCCCTAGCCACAGAGGATATATTTCCAAAGCATATTTTTGAGGCCTTGTAATAACGATGAGTTATTATTCTGTAATTTAGAAGACAGTTTCTAGTTTCTCTTCCTTATATATTTTAACTGGAGCAGTTAGTTCTGGTGTAGTACTGGACACTTTACAAAGTGACTTTAACGTTGCCTTCTCAATTCGCTCGTGGCGCATGTTGTGGCAGGTACTGTTATTCCTATTTTAGAGAGTGGGAGACTAAGGGCGAGGGAGTTATCAGGTAAGGTGCCTGTGGTTAAACTGCCAGTGAGTAGTAACTCAGGAATTGATCACAGGTGCCTGACTCTAAAGGCTTTCTCTTCTTGCTACCCTGTGTTTGTTCTATTGTGAGGAGCAGGTTTCTGAGGCTAGAGGGTCGGAGAGAGTTGAGTGGGCTGAAACTGTATGTAAAAGTTTGGGTCCTTGCTTTCTCCTCTGCAGGATATGTCAGTAACTTTTGCTACATTCCGAGAGGGGCCTGCATGGTCTTGGACCTCTCTTCCCCCGCCCCCCGCCCCCAAGCCAGGAATCAGGGCCAGCAGGTTTCATCGTCAGAGGTCTAGTTTGGTTAGCCCTAGTCTTTATCGATGTTGATTTTTTTTAGTGTTTATTTATAAATGGGATGTTCGTATTAATTTTTTTTTTTGTTTCCAAAGAAGCTGGCAGTGCCTGAACTTCAAACTCTTTTAAAAGCAACTTTTCTATTTGGTAGAGTTCATTTCTCTTCGGACCATTGTTCTTTAGAGATATTGTGTGTCATATGAAGCAAGATGTTGGCACAAATGATAAAGCTTTTTGTAAAAGGAAGATACTGACTGGTTGCTCCAGTATATGGGCTGTCTCTCCCCAACAGTGTATATTATAACTGGCGTCAAGGAATTGGGGTGAGCTTTACCAGACCTTAACATTCAGAAGCACAAGTTTGGTTTAGTGTTTCCCACATATTCATGTCCCCTTTGGGTTCCCATTCAAATGGGTGGAACTTGGATGCTGACTTTTTATATCACAGTGGAAGTCTGATTAGGTTCTGTTAGGCAGACTTCCAGGGATGAGAAAACAGATCAAAGAAGTCTGCAGCCGGAGACCTTTTGTGAAATGATGTGGACACCAAGGATCTCGGCATGCTTGGTGAGGCTGCTGCTGGGAATTTAGGAGGCCTGCATTCTGTGGCCCTGCTGATTCACTAGTGACCCCAACTTTCTTATTTTATAGATGGGGATCTATTGAATTCTTACATTTCCTCATTCCAGAACCTATATTTGATTTTACATTCGTGACCCACCCTATTAGCTTCCTAAGGCTGCCATAACAAAGTACCACAAACTGGGTGGCTTAGAACAGCAGTTTATTGTCTCACAAAGTTTTGGAGGCTAGAAGTTCTAAATTAAGGTGTCACAGGACCATGTTCCTTCTGAAATCTGTAGAGGAGGATCTTTCTTTGCCTCTTCCAGCGTCTGGTAGCCATGGGTGTTCGTGGCTTGCAGTGTAATTCCAGTGTCTGCCCCCATCTTTACCGGACATTCTCCCTGTGTCTCTTCATGTAGTCTTCCCTCTGCATGCCTGTCTCTCTGCCCACATTCCCCCCCGCCCCCGCCCCACCCCTTTCTTTTAATAACACCAGTCATGGACCAGGGCCTACCCTGATGACCTCATTTTAACATGATTACCTCTGTAAAGACCATATTTCCAAACAAGTTCACATTCTGAGGTACTGGGGTGGGGTAGGACTTCACTCTATCTTTTTGGGGGAATACAGTTCAGCCTGTAACACCTTTCATTTGTGTTTTCACCTGTCTAAGCTTTATTTACTCTCCTGCTTCATAAAGTATGATTGTGTGCACCAGCTGACTTTTATATCTCTGTATGGTATAGGCACCCAGGAGATGAAGTGCAGCCTTTGTAGGAGAGATGTAATGAACGACACACCTTTAGTTGTGTGTCAGTCATCAGCAAACATCTGCTGAACTATCTAGATAGTAGGTGCTGTTATATTTTGAAAACATTTTTATTTCTGTGATAGTCATGTTATTTTTAATCTCTAATTATTAAGATTCAGGTTTAAATATTGCCTTGTAGCGAAACTTTTTTTTTTTTCCCTTTTTAGGGGTTTGCCATAAAATGGGCCTTCTGACTGTACTCACTGGACTATGGCTGTTTTCCTCAGTAAAGGCAGATTCAAAAGCCATTACAACCTCTCTTACAACAAAATGGTTTTCCACTCCGTTGTTGTTAGAAACCAGGTAAGAAGACATTTTTTTTCTTTCACGTGTTTGAATGAAAATGTAGGCTCCGCTAGTGAATATTCAGGAGCTTTTTAGGGAGTGAAATTCTCATCATATGCATTTAGTAAGAGCTTCTTTCATTGTGCACTGTGCTTGTGTGCTGTTCACAGGCTGTTAGAACACAGACTGTCTGTTAGCAGGCTAGGACTGAATTGATGATAGAGATCTTTAGGGATTTCTTTAGAAAAATATATTGAATTGGTTAAATTATTATGTTATCTTCCAGGAAGAGTTTAAATGTGGTAATAAGGGAAGAGAGAGTTGTACTTAAGAGAAATTTTCTATTTATTTGAAGAAGGTGTTAAGAGGTGTTTAATAAAAGGAAGAGAAGAGAGCTTGGCAAGGTGGGGGAAGAGGACATGCCCCTCCCAAGAACTTGGAAGGAGACCCCAAGATAAGAGAGTGCAGGGGGAAGCTGTGAGAAAGTGGCCACATTTTATCTGATTGTAGCATCTCCAAAATCAGGATGCATTTAATCAAATCAAGATGTTATCTTAAAATTGGTGGCATCTTTCACTCAGTGTTTCATAAAACAATGATATGTCTTAAAATTGACAGTGTCTTTGGGCAGCATTTCATCCTGCTATTCCTGAAACATACTGGACCCCAGTCTCCTACCCCATCTCTACCTTAGTGCTCCTCTGCTGGGACTGTACCATCTGGGGCTACAGGAAACTCTAGACAATGATTCATGCCTGTCTGCCTGATCCCCTACATAGCCATTTCTATCCTGCTTTGTTCCTAGGATCTTGGTGTAGAAAATGAGTTTCAAAAGCCTAGGCCTTGAAGGGATTTAGAGCATAGCAAATATGCAGTAAATCACATCAAGCTTCGCACTACTATCTCTCAAGCTAGAAGAGATTCCCTGGTCTGGGGGGTACAGAAGAAAATAAAAGTTGAAGGAAACTTGACAACAGCTCAAGTGAACCCTAAGAAGGAGTTAGTAGATGGATTGTAGAAACCACACATATGTTTTGAGGAAAAAAAGAAAACATACATCTCAGTTTCTCAATAAAGAAGATCTCCCAGGGACTTCCCTGGCAATCCAGTGGTTAAGACTCTGTGCCTTCGACGCAGGGGGTGCTGGTTTGATCCCTGGTCAGGGAACTAAGATCCCGCATGCCATGCGTGGCCAAAAAAAAATAAGATCTCCCAAACTTGGAAAAAAGAATTGACAGTGTCTTAAAATTGATAAAATGCAATATAGTCAATAATTTCTTGGGAGATTTTAACCCAAGTGTACGTTTTATTTAGTGTTTGTAATATAAATATAACCAGATACCTCTGTTTTAGTCAGTTTTTTGTTTATAGAGGGAAACTTATTTTTATTGTATCTCAAATAACATATAGCTAGGACCTGTAGAGAATCTTTCCAAAGCATACATTTAGGTAGGTGAGCCATGAGCATTTGGTAAATTTCAGAATTTGATATAGCTGGAAATTTGAACTGTTGTGTTATATCAGTTAACTTTGTGGTCTAATTTTATCTTCTGACATCTTCCCCTTGATCCCTAGGAAGATGTGAATGAAGAGTCTGTTGTGTTGATAGTGTATACGGATAGTTGTGCCTTCTAAGGCAAAGTCTCCTATGGTACAGGATTGAGGAGAGGCCAGTGGGAACATGGGACGCGTAGGAGTCCATCTTGACTTGCTGAGGAGCCTCCCCGACTTTCTGCTGAACAGACTTTCTCCCTTCACTTCTCTGTGCCTCCCTTTCCTCAGCAATAAAATGGCAAACCCCTTCCCCCCGCAAAACTCCCAACAACCCCTTCTCACCCCCAGAAACCCCCAAACTCCACTGCATGTATTTCATAGTGATGTTACAATAACTAATTTGATAAATAGGTCGAGCCCCTCAAATGTCCGCGCTTTGTTAGATCTTGGTGGTTGTAACAGTGAAGTGTCTGAAGGTCGTGTGAGGTCCTGGACTGCCTGAGCCAGGACTCTTGTAGCTGAACATTTTTTCTCCCTTTCTGCTAATCTTATTTTGGATGATGTATCTGGTGTCAACCTAAGTCATTGAGATTTACTATCACTTTCTAAATAATTTTGTGCAACTAACCATAACGGATGTTTTACGATATTCTGCTTAACGTTCTTCAATGGATTACATCCCATTACTCTCACTTACACTAACAAATTTCTTGGTGTTTGTATATTGTCTTAGAAGAGTCTTATGGCATATACTTATGGACTTTTGAGAAAGTATGCTAAAATTGTCAGCCTTGTTGATCAGTTTTTTTTCAGTTTCTTTGATCTCTGTGAAGTGAGTATTGTAAACTGTTTCCTTCATTGCAACTTACCCATAAAAAACATAGCGCCTTTTCATGATATCCTGGCCATTTGCCATTTTGGTTCATTATTTTTACTTCTCTTCTGTGGCTATTTGCAAACAGTTTGCCAAGGAAATGGGACGTGTAGGCAACTCAAAAACACTGCTGTGCTTTTTTGAAACTACTCTATATTCACCTCCAGAGCTAGCTGAGGCCACTCTCTTTCCCTCCTGGGTCCATGGCAGACACTGATGGTGGGTCACAGCACTGTCCATTGTGGGGGAGGGTAAAGGGACAGAATCTTTTTCCACACATCGAGGCATGTAGCTAATACAGACATTTTGTCTTCCTTGCTTCTGGCCCTTAGGGACTAAAACTATTCTTGTGTGTATTTTTATTTTTAAAAATTTTAATACATTTATTTATTTGACTTTTGGCTGTGTTGGGTCTTTGTTGCTGCGCATGGGCTTTCTCTAGTTGTGGTGAGCGGGGGCTACTCTTCATTGCGGTGCGCGGGCTTCTCATTGTGGTGTCTTCTCTTGTTGTGGAGCACGGGCTCTAGGCGCACGGGCTTCAGTAGTTGTGGCTCGTGGGCTCAGTAGTTGTGGCTGCTCAGTAGTTGTGGCTTGTGGGCTCTAGAGCGCAGGCTCAGTAGTTGTGGCACATGGGCTTAGTTGATCCGCGGCATGTGGGATCTTCCCGGACTAGGGATCGGACCCTTGTCCCCTGCATCGGCAGGTGGGTTCTTAACCACTGCACCACCAGGGAAGTCCCTTGTGTGTATTTTTAGGTTGGACCTGATGCTAATGAAGGGTTTGTAGCTTTCTGGTTGTCCATGAAGTGATATATATTTAACTGAAGTAGAGCTCTGAGTATGTTCTGAGCAGCTGTACTTACTAACAGAAATATTGTGTAAATAAGTTCTATTATTAAAGTTGAAACAATCATTTATTGAGTGCTTATACAATCATTTATTGAGATATTATAATGGCCTGAGAATGCAGCATGATAGATTTGAGTGATTGAGATTGGAATGTAAATTCCAGATTTTTGATTTACTAACTCTGTGCCCTTAAGAAAGTTAACAAGTTTATAAGTGGAGAGAATGGTATATATATATAATGTGCTCTCCCTCTACCTGTCACCCAGTTTTAGTGATTGTCAATTCAAGTCCAATAACCATCACCATCACCACCCTCCTACCTTCTCCCGCTAAATTATTTTAAAGCAAATCCCAGACATCGTATAATGTCATCTGTAAAACTATCAATATTTTACTCAGTGGAAGTTTTATCGATATTTTACTCAGGTATCAGAAGCTAGAAAACAATTTAAAACAAAAAGAAAACAAACTTAAGCATACTATAAACAAATGGCAGCGTTTCTTTTAATAGTATCTTTTATTGTTCCTGTCTTCCATGGATTACTTCAATGGATCTGGTAATTAATTTTCTTAAGGCTGTTGGACACTTAGACGTTGTAAGACTTATTTATGCAGTGGGGTGAAAAAGAATGTACGTTTAAGAAGTTTTCTTGAAATTATATGAAAAGTATATATTTATGTGCATATGGTCTCTGTAGGAATCTAAGCTAAGATTCACTTTGTATTCTTACAAAGAATACAAAGCATTTACTTGCATATCATAATCTATCTGTTTTACTACCTGTTTTCTTAGTCTATAAGCTATTATAAGGTTGGTATGATGTCTATGTCAGTTACTCAAAAGCCTAGAAAATGCCACACTCAAGGAGGCACTAAATAATTTAATACATTATGATGATGGGTATTTTCAGAAACCTAGTTTTAGAGAAGCTGTGCATTACCAGGAAACGTTTCTTATGTTGCCATATTTCTGTGTCTAGCTGTGGAGTAGAGTGAGAGTTGTACAGCCCAGTATTGACAAGTAATGGGAAAGTCTTCCTTTGGCTAGGTAAGCTGAGATCCAGATCTGTAGTTTGCTTTCAGACAGGGAAAGACCACCACTACATTGGTATGCCTTGGAGAAGATTACCGATTTACATAAATCATTCAATTTATTCATTCAATCATGTATTTTCTTTTAAGGGATTTTAGGCTCTTGAATGCAGGGAAATGTAGAATTATTTTATTTTAGGTCAGTACAGTAGTGTAAAGTCAAGGAAAAAGTTAAGATGGCATTAAATTCTAAGACCTGATTTTATTAAATCAGTGCTAACTTTAATATTGGGTGATTTTGAAAATTTGGATTTGTGGATGTAAAAAGATTACGACATACTGCCTTTCGTCTCCTAGAAATTTTTCTGGGGTTCATGTTTTCCTTGGGAGAAATGTAGGCAAAAACATATTTTTTTGTTCTTTGCAAGGTATTTCAGAAAATGAGTGAGCAGAACTAGTACTAGAATTATCAATTTCCTAATTCTGCTTCTACTACTGACAGCATTTTCACAAATGAGATTTCATAACCTTTCTTTATATTGGGACTTCCCTGTTACAACATTTCTATTATTCTAGGTTTCTTTAGGGATACCTATTAAACTGTTAAGTGAATAAACTACTAAGCTAATTATTAATAGCTAATAAGCTAGTAAGACTTGCTTATCATTAGAAAATTCCCTGTTACAACATTTCTATTATTCTAGGTTTCTTTAGGGATACCTATTAAACTGTTAAGTGAATAAACTACTAAGCTAATTATTAATAGCTAATAAGCTAGTAAGACTTGCTTATCATTAGAAAATATCCGCGGCATGTGGGATCCTCCTGGACCGGGGCATGAACCCGTGTCCCCTGCATCGGCAGGCGAACTCCCTACCACGGCGCCACCAGGGAAGCCCCATTTTGCTTTTTTAAATGTGAAATATTTTTCTTAAATTTCTCTTTGGAATAGATAATAGTGGTTTAAAAGTCAAAGCTATACAAAAGGCTATACACAGAAAAATCTTGTTCCTCCTGTTTCTCTTGGCTTTTCATAACCATTTAATTTGTTTAGTCTTCAGTGTTTTTTTTCTCTTTTACAATAAATACATAAGTATGTATTCCTATTTCTTATTCTTTCTAAGAGTAAGAAAAAATTGCGTACTACATACATTGTTTTGTACCTTGTGCTTTTCGTTTAATATATCCTGGGGATTTTTTCATACTGGTACATGAGTTTTTTTTCCCCTCAATGTGTTCCAGTTGTTTTAATGCTTCTCCCCAAACTACAGTTTTATTAGTATCCTTTAATATCTTGTACTTCCTCATCACGCTGCTCCGTCTTGTTGGGTTATTTGAATAGATAACATATGCAGACACTGTGGATACAAAGACAAGTCATAGTTTCGGGCTTTGGGGGCCCAAAGGCTCTTTGGGAGGGGCAGTTAGTAAATAGGTAAATGAGTAAATGATGTGCTAAGTGAAAGAGGTAAGCAAAGAAATATTATGGGAGCAAAGAAGAGATGAACTTGGTCCAGTGAGGCATGGGGTAGGGATAGGCGGTGCCTCCCTGGAGTAGGTGCTCTCACAGCTGAATTCTTTCTGAGGAAGAAAGTAGGAGTTAGTCATCCAGGTAAGTGGGAGAATTGCAGTCCAGGAAGAGGGAATAGTCTGAACAAAGGGAAGAGAAGTCCAATTGCATGGTGTACTCCAAGGAATTCTAAGCATTTGACAGCAGTTCAGGACAGTATAGTGGTAACATTTTGCAATCAGTATGCTTTTGTAACACATAGCTTTATACTTGTATGTGTATACTTGTATATGTAACACATATACTTTATACTTATTTGGAAACCTCTAGTCATATAGAATTATTTTGGTTAATGTTCTTCCTGACAGGTACTGATTATTCCTATTATCATGCAGTATTGGAAGTTGCATTTCAGTTTCTGTCACGACTACAGCAGAATCTGTTGAAATTTTGTCTGTCTCTTCACTCCTACTCAGCGACAATTCAAGCCTTCCAGCAGGTGAGTTCAGTGCTTACACATGACAGTATTCTTTAGTGGTCGCATATCTTGATCGGCTGTATTGCAGTTGTCCTGGCATTGTATTACAGAACTATACCTTTTCTACCTGAAATTGTCTAGGATTTACAATTTGTTTATAAATAATAAGCAAAATTGATGATGTTAAATCTTCAAATAACATATAAAAAATATAATTTGCACTTATTTTCATTTAAGGAAAAATAAAATATCTGCACAAAAATCTGCCTACCAGACTTTATACAGCACAGCTGAAGAGAGAGGCGATATAGTTTTTGCTAAACCAGTTAACCCTGAGTGTGATCATAGCCTGTAGATCTAAAAGCAGTTCACGGGAAATACAGCAGATAGGAAATGTGAAACAATATCACAGGAATACAGTCAGGAAAAGCTAGGATGAGGAAAGCTTTGTAGTAAAATAATCTGATTTTGTCAACAAGTAAGACTCCCTACCACGGCGCCACCAGGGAAGCCCCATTTTGCTTTTTTAAATGTGAAATATTTTTCTTAAATTTCTCTTTGGAATAGATAATAGTGGTTTAAAAGTCAAAGCTATACAAAAGGCTATACACAGAAAAATCTTGTTCCTCCTGTTTCTCTTGGCTTTTCATAACCATTTAATTTGTTTAGTCTTCAGTGTTTTTTTTCTCTTTTACAATAAATACATAAGTATGTATTCCTATTTCTTATTCTTTCTAAGAGTAAGAAAAAATTGCGTACTACATACATTGTTTTGTACCTTGTGCTTTTCGTTTAATATATCCTGGGGATTTTTTCATACTGGTACATGAGTTTTTTTTCCCCTCAATGTGTTCCAGTTGTTTTAATGCTTCTCCCCAAACTACAGTTTTATTAGTATCCTTTAATATCTTGTACTTCCTCATCACGCTGCTCCGTCTTGTTGGGTTATTTGAATAGATAACATATGCAGACACTGTGGATACAAAGACAAGTCATAGTTTCGGGCTTTGGGGGCCCAAAGGCTCTTTGGGAGGGGCAGTTAGTAAATAGGTAAATGAGTAAATGATGTGCTAAGTGAAAGAGGTAAGCAAAGAAATATTATGGGAGCAAAGAAGAGATGAACTTGGTCCAGTGAGGCATGGGGTAGGGATAGGCGGTGCCTCCCTGGAGTAGGTGCTCTCACAGCTGAATTCTTTCTGAGGAAGAAAGTAGGAGTTAGTCATCCAGGTAAGTGGGAGAATTGCAGTCCAGGAAGAGGGAATAGTCTGAACAAAGGGAAGAGAAGTCCAATTGCATGGTGTACTCCAAGGAATTCTAAGCATTTGACAGCAGTTCAGGACAGTATAGTGGTAACATTTTGCAATCAGTATGCTTTTGTAACACATAGCTTTATACTTGTATGTGTATACTTGTATATGTAACACATATACTTTATACTTATTTGGAAACCTCTAGTCATATAGAATTATTTTGGTTAATGTTCTTCCTGACAGGTACTGATTATTCCTATTATCATGCAGTATTGGAAGTTGCATTTCAGTTTCTGTCACGACTACAGCAGAATCTGTTGAAATTTTGTCTGTCTCTTCACTCCTACTCAGCGACAATTCAAGCCTTCCAGCAGGTGAGTTCAGTGCTTACACATGACAGTATTCTTTAGTGGTCGCATATCTTGATCGGCTGTATTGCAGTTGTCCTGGCATTGTATTACAGAACTATACCTTTTCTACCTGAAATTGTCTAGGATTTACAATTTGTTTATAAATAATAAGCAAAATTGATGATGTTAAATCTTCAAATAACATATAAAAAATATAATTTGCACTTATTTTCATTTAAGGAAAAATAAAATATCTGCACAAAAATCTGCCTACCAGACTTTATACAGCACAGCTGAAGAGAGAGGCGATATAGTTTTTGCTAAACCAGTTAACCCTGAGTGTGATCATAGCCTGTAGATCTAAAAGCAGTTCACGGGAAATACAGCAGATAGGAAATGTGAAACAATATCACAGGAATACAGTCAGGAAAAGCTAGGATGAGGAAAGCTTTGTAGTAAAATAATCTGATTTTGTCAACAAGTAAGTTAAAAGGAAAAGAAAAGAGGGAAGGAGGACCTTCAAGAGAGACTTTAAAAAGGTGTCAACTGGGGCTTCCCTGGTAGCGCAGTGGTTGAGAATCTGCCTGCCAATGCAGGGGACATGGGGTCGAGCTCTGGTCTGGGAAGATCCCACATGCTGCAGAGCAACTGGGCCTGTGAGCCACAACTACTGAGCCTGTGCGTCTGGAGCCTGTGCTCCGCAACAAGAGAGGCTGCGACGGTGAGAGGCCCACGCACTACTTTAAAGAGTGGCCCCCGCTCGCCGCAACTAGAGAAAGCCCTCGCACAGAAACGAAGACCCAACACAGCCAGAAATAAATAAATAAATAAATAAATTAAAAAAGGTGTCAACTTAATGCAATGTGTGGATCTTGTTGGATTTTTAAAAAAAATTTATTTATTTTTATTTTTGGCTGTGTTGGGTCTTTGTTGCTGTGCACGAGCTCTTCCCCAGTTGTGGTGAGCAGGGGCTACTCTTCGTTGCGGTGCGCAGGCCTCTCGTTGCGTGGCTTCTCTTGCTGCAGAGTACGGGCTCTAGGTGCGTGGGCCTCAGCAGCTGTGGCACTTGGGCTCAGCAGTTGTGGTTCGCAGGCTGTAGAGCACAGGCTCAGCAGTTGTGGTGTGCGGGCCCAGTTGCTCCGCGGCATGTGGGATCCTCCTGGACCAGGGCTCGAACCCGTGTCCCCTGCATTGGCAGGCGGATTCTTAACCACTGCGCCACCAGGGAAGCCCCTTGTTGGATTTTGAGTTGAACAGACTCATAAAAAATAGCAAGAGAATCAAAGGTGTGTATACTGATTGTATGTTTGGTATAAAAGAAATGTTAATTTTAAAACCTCTTTTTTTATTCTGAAATAAAACCAGCATAGAAAATGACTCACAAGAAATACATAGTATAAAGAATTATAACGAAGTGAACACTCTTGTAATTTTCACCCCCGGTCAGGAAATTGAATTTAGCCAGGCACAGTGGAAGCCCTTGATGTGCTGTGTCCCCATCACAGCTGACTTTTGCCCTTCAAAAGGAATCACTTTCTTCTGTTGGAATCATTTGCTGTTTTGTTTTTTTAAAAAAATACATTTCATTGCCCAAGAGTTCATCTCCAAACAATAGAGTTTAGTCTTGCCCAGTTTTAAAAAAATTATTAATTTTTTTGGGGGGTGGGTGGTCTCTTAATTTATAGGTTCTCCCTCTATCCCTTTCTTTTCTGTTGAATAACTTATACTGTTTGCCCTATACATTTTTTTTTTTTCCTTTGGCCCCTGCAAGGCCCTTGCTGGATCTTAGTTCCCCGACCAGGGACTGAACCCAGGGCCCCGGCAGTGAAAGTGCTGAGTCCTAACCACTGGACCACCAGGGAATTCCCAATAGATTGCTGTCATTGCAGAAATTTCTCTTGTACAGCACTCGTCTGTAAGAATAAGGGTGTTACTCTGTTCTTCCCCTCTCCCCTTTTCTTACAATAGCTTTGTATGGGATTTGACACTGAGACTTTTTCTGCTCAAGTTGATGTGAAATTAGTTTTCCTTAACTTTTGGAGGTCGGCATGGTTCCCTATTCTGTTGATTTTATGTTGTGTTAAAATAGGGTGGCTTTAAAAAAAAGGTAGCTTGCTTTTTGAAATTTCCTGACTCTGTTCCCCTCTTTCACTTTTATATTTGGACTTTTTCTTTTATTGGCTTTTATCTCTGTCCTACTTGAGTTTTATTCTACCCTCAACAGTTTCTCCTTAGAGGTGGGGCCCTTTCCTAGAAGGGAGTCCTAGCCTGTGAGTTATGAGTTCACAGTGGTCAGACTGCCTTGTGCTTACCTGTACTAGGTGAAACAAAACCTGTCGGCCCACCATACTTTCCAGTGAAAACCTTTTGGCTGTTTTGGGGTTTTCTTGTTTTCAGGATCATCAGAATCTCTGCAGTTTGCCTCTACTTCTATGGCCTCTGATAACTGCAGGTCATTTTTGTGTTTTGTATCATGGGGATTTCCTTCCACCTAGTTTTGTCATAAATGTGGTTCACTGGTTTTTGTTTTCATTTTTGCTTTATTTTTATGGGAGAACTTGGGAAGATTGAAAAACTATGCTGCCGGTGGCCTTCAACAGAATTGTA